CGAAAATGACGTCACTTCCGGTTTCGGGCAGGTAATGGCGGACATGCAAAAGTTCGCGCTGACGTCTATTCCAACGTAGAAAGTGTTACGAACAGCTGATCGGATCGGCAAAGCGTGTTTCTGGAATATTATGTTTTTGTTGCTGCAAGTGCTTTTTATGCAGTTTTTGCAAAGCTATATGTGGAAGGAAACTGTGACCGAGGACAAGCTGATGGCATAAGATGTAAGTACAACTCCTCCGGTTTCATATGCAAAAAAAATTTTGCGCTAGCTTACGTGGTTGCAGAGCTACCGGGATTTAAAAATAGTTACGCAAAACAGAGCGTGCCCGCTCCAACCGGCTCTAAAGGGTTAAGCACCGGCACCGTTTCAAAAGTACCAGTTTGGCACCGGTATCGGATAAAACCTAAACGATACCCATCCCTAGTCATAGATCTGCCCCAGTCTCCTTCCAGTAGGACACGGCTGGAACATTTTACTACCTACAGTCTACCTATGTAGACTTACTTTAATGATTAGCTCTCTGTTCACCACAACAGACTCGGACACATCCCTTTATCTGTCCTGCTCCAGTCTGCTCCAGTTAGATGGCCCTGCCCCTCCCTGAGTCTGGTTCTGCTGGACGTTTCTTCCTTTTTAAGGGGAGCTTTGTGTCATTGTAGGGTCTTTACCTGACCATATAAAGCGCCTTAATCAACTGTTGTTGTGCTTTGCGCTATATAAATAAAATGGAATTGAATCCCAGATTCTTAGATATTTGGAAATAACTTTCCAACCTGGCGAGTGCACACTATCTTTTTCCATCTCATGGCCTGTATTTGTATAGCGCTTTACTAGTCCCCAAGGACCCCAAAGCGCTTTACATATCCAGTCATCCACCCATTCACACACACATTCACACACTGGTGATGGCAGGCTACATTGTAGCCACAGCCAATAATAATTTATTTATTACATTAATTAAACATACAATTTCCCAGTTATTTCCAGACCGGACTTACAACACATCCTGCTGATATCCCAGCTGCACGTGAGACTTACCACACAAATGGTGTGAAAATTACACAACACTGCAAAGCGTTACACCCCGTTTAGCGACACTGCAATCGATTCACCTGTGGCACGCTCTGCAAATAATTCGGGTCTCAGCACAGCTGGGAAGCAGCGCTATGCATGACCTGTAATCTGGAATATAAAGGGAAGTGGCACAAACAAATAAACAAAAAAACAAAGAAGGAGGTTAGTCCGCCCTTACACAACTCACTCCCAATCAATAACCGTCTTTACAGCTGGACGGACAACACAAACAAAATTCCAAATCAATCAAAAGAACGAAAAAAAGGACATCAGAGACAGCGCAGCTGAAAAACACAAACAACACCATCGATTAAAATATCACCCAATAAAATATCAATTTTATGAAACCATTCAAAATCACAAAGCTAAAACACACTCAATATACCTACAATACTGATCAGTCTCCCTGCGCGCAGTCGATCTAGGGCTTGATCAATTCTTCCATTAAAACTCGTGGTCACACTAAAAAAGTCCAACGACACACATCAAAAATCAGCACCTACAATAACAAATGATCCAAACAAAATGGCAAAAGTCTCTTACCGACAGTAGACCCACTCGCACCCGAGTCAATTAATCGCCTCTGGGTTTTTTCCACAGAAGAGCGCTGACCTCACCCCACACACCCACTACCTTTTCACAGCTCTTCAGCCAATCACCTGGCAGAGAGCAACAAACTGCCAGGTGACACTTGTTACATTAGCATTTAATTTTTTTCAACATGTTTTACACATTCTCACATTTTATTTTGCAAGTTCTCATAAAACATTAACAAGATCCTGCATGTTGCAACATATTATATATAACTAGTGCTAAGAAAGATAAAATACTAGAATTCTACTTCCTAAAACCACAGAACTGACTTCATATTCAGCAGCATTATCATTCATAAGATAATTCAATTAAAATATTCAAACAACAAACAGGAGAGGTCCACTCAGCGTCCTGCTTTAGCAGAGGTCAGACTGAGCCAACAGAAACTGGCTGACACTGAAGAGAATTATTTAGATACTTATCAATATCCAAATAATGTTGTTTCATCATTTACACACTGTACAGTTATGAATGGGAAACTATATATATATATATGTATATATATGTGTGTGTGTGTGTATAGTACTACATTTGTTGTGTCATGATACAAACATCCCGTTCAGAGGCATTTACCTGGATATTTTAACATGTGAGTGTATGAGGATTGTATATATATTTCAGATACATTTGGAAAAGTGTACTTAGTTTTGTTGCTCTGCCTTCTTTGCACACATTTGTGTCTAAAATGGAGAAGACATCATCTTGTATTTCTCTCGCTGAGGAACCTCGTATCATGCTACACCAGACCAGACTCGGGTGTGGAGGCTGATTTAAATAGAAGAGTGATGTTGGTGGGGCCCCGCTCAGAGCCCCCGCTCTGGCTCATGCTGCCGCACTTCCTCCTGTGCTCCAACTGCACGCGGTGCTTCATCTTCCACCTCCGCCACCTCCTCTGGATCTCGTTCTGCACCTGGAGAACAATTATTGCTATTAATTATTGCTACACTGGGGAAAAGTTGGCTCGCAGTTATATTTTAAGATTAAACACAGTCACAATGGTGATAAAGAAGAAATATTTTCTGTGGATTTAAACTTTTAAATTGCACCAGTTCCTCACTTCTTGGCCATAAAATTAAAAGCCAAGTGTTACTTTCCCAGATATTACATATTAATTACTATATGGGTTTATTATTATTATTGTTTTTATTAGGGCTGTTCGATATAACCACATATATCGGATGATGATATGAAAACGTCTATGTTTCAAATTACGCTATTGTTTGTTTTGCAAAGTAAACTGTTTAAGGTAATATTTATTTTATCGTTTTGATGGTCACTGTGGAGTTTCAAGACGTTCTCTCTTTTTCTTATATTTAATATAGCCACACTACGGACGGACAAACGACTGTTTTTATGCATTGTCGTTAGCAACAACGACGGTAAAACCATCGCGTGGCTCTGTCGTCCGCTGTTTATTTCCACATAAACCTTTCACAATAAAGCTGAAGATCCTGTTTAGATTTTTCAAAATAAACGGAATCACATGACATAGAATGCAGAGTGTTTACAAAAGAGAAGCTAAAAAGAGCCGTCAGGTGCTAAAAACAAACAAACTTAGAAGCTTAGAACAGGCTTTTCCCCGCAGCACGCGTGGAATAAATACTCACAAAGAGAATTGAGGCCGTTACAACTTATGTAACACTCGAGTCCAGATACACACGCTGAGCTGAAAACACGTCACGCAAGTCGAGTTGCCCGAGATTCACAGAATTTACAGAAAATGTAAAACTTTTGTTATTATATATTATTGTCGGGACGATAAATGCCTTATATCGGGATATGAGATTTTGGTCATATCACACAGCCCTAGTTGTTATTATTATTATTATTATTATTATTATTATTATTATTATTTTCCATTTGATTTTTCAAGAACTAATCACGTCAGCAATGTCTTGTGTACTGATTGGTGTAAAAGTGCCAAAACTCCAGGAGGTTCAACAGTAAGTTGAATTGAAACTGTAAAAATTCCTGGGTGTACATGGGGAAAGATGTTGTATGAGCCTGAGAAAAATTAACACTGGGACCAGGACTATCAAAGAACCTTAACCTTGTGATTCTTTATTAAATGGCCAGTTTGGGCAATTTTAGTTTTTATTTCATATTTTTCTAAAAGCAGGCTTTTAGAAAAATGTTATGTTGCCTGCAGTCCACACATGCAGTGGTTCCAGGCAAAGTGTCACTTGTTACAAATAGTGAAGATCTCATATACAGTATTGTTATTGTACAGATCTGGGCCTGCCCTGCCTTTGTGTAAGCTCATTAAGAAAAACTTGGACGACTGTTTATTTGGTCTGTACCGAATAAATCAAAGTGATTTCTTCTAGGAATCTTTTGCAATTAAATATAAATGCAATGTTTGTTTCTGTGCCAGCTGTTTACCTAATGTGTTCAGTCATTTTTAAAGTTGGACTATTTCCAGGTTGTTTCTAGGCTGGATGGTACAACCACCGCACTGCTAATTAGACTTTGAAAAGTTTATTTTCTGTAATTTTGCATGTGAACAGTAAGCTTACATCTAGAAATGACAACATAATGTTTCATGGGTATAAAGGGAAAAATAAACCTTACCTCCCCGTTCAGGAAACAGTACAGAAGCGCTACGACAAATCCCTGAAACAACACGTACAGAAACATAACTGACAGGCTGCTGTTAGTGCATGTGGATATTTTTAGAAGCTTCCTGTTCTAGTCTCTCATACAATGAAGCTGCTGAATGCAGCAAATGATTCTTTAAAGAACACTTTCTTTACTGCAGAAACAAATGCACTGTTCAAATACACACCAATGTTCCTGCCGTGTACAAATAGACTTCTGTGTTAGGAGAAAATTAAAGGTGGTGATTAGACAACAGCTTACAGTTGGCTTTACTGTACCTGAGTAGAAGCAAAAGCCAGCTCAATAAAGTTCCAGATTTCATAGGTCCTGCCGTGGACTTTGTGTGGAAGGAAAGCAAAGAGAATGTAGTGTAAGCCAAAGAGCGACACCAGGAGGAAGGATGACTTGGCAAGTTTCCTGTTGTTTGAAGAATAACAGTGTATGAACCATTAGAATTAAAGTGAGAAAGTCTACAAACCTCTTTGAAAATATCAGACAAATAATAACACACAGACCACTGGGAAAAAATAAAAACCTGTGATCAAAAAGAGCAAACTTAAACACAAATGGACCTCAAATCAAAACTGAAGCAGATGTCGGCCCTTTTGCCCATTTTTAGAATATAAGCTAACATTTTTTAAAATTTTGATCAAAAGGTTGAGTGACACAGAAACTCCACAACACCGATTCATCCCGAATGTTAAGGATGAACGTACATGTGTTTTCTTCTCCAGGTTCTGTGAGTCAGGGCATTCGATTTTAAATAAAATAACACATCTAGCTGCAAACTGCAACACAGGGCGTAACTGCTCAGCTGCACAAATTCACCTCAGCAACTTGATCTGACTATGTTATGAAGCAGTCTCACCTCCACCTCCACCCCAACACCAACAACATGATCTGATCATCCGGGACATAATAATGTCCCAGATGCATCTAATGGATAAAGTTCATGTTCATATTGCTCAGATTCAACCATCTGACTTAAAATTAGGAACCTTAAGAACTCTTGGATTTAAATTTTCTCGATCAGCCCCACTTTAAAAAAAACAACAAAGCACAAATGTTATTACTGTGACAGGAGTATGAAGGAATCCAGTGGCTAACTCATGTCTTTCAAACACTTCTTCCATTGCTACAGTGGTTAAACCCGACATAGTCAAGTAGGACCTGAATGATTATCTTATACACATGCAGCTAGAGCTAAGTGGGGAATATGGGCAGAAATCTGTGCCATCAGAAACTGAATTTGAATAAGTTAAATTTGAATTTGAATTGCTCAGATTGAATCTGAATTGTAACTTGAATAAATGCTTTTGAAAACTGAATTTGAATTAGTCTAATTTGAAATTGAATTTATGGTTTGAAAATGATCATCACTAA